CTACTCACTACTCACTACTCACTACTCACTACTCACTACTCACTACTACTACTACTACTACTACTACTACTACTTCTACTACTTCTACTACTTCTACTACTTCTACTACTACTTCTACTACTTCTACTACTTCTACTACTACTACTACTACACCACCACGACGACGACTACTACTACTACTACCACGACGACGACGACGACGACGACGACGACGACTACTACTACTACTTCCTCCTCCTCCTGCTGCTGCTGCTACTGCTACTGCTACTGCTACTGCAACTGCCACGGCTCATCCTCCCACTGCTCCTCCTACTGCTGCTTCTACTAAGGTTGGGGGCTCTTGATAAGTCCGCTGAACCGCATCATGCAGTGCCCCCAAGGTTGTCGGGCCTCATCATCAGATCTTCGCGCCGAAGATGGTCGATACAAAGTAGGGGGCTCTTTGGGGATCAGCTCGCTCCGATCCAGGCGTTCGAGGGCCTGCATGTCGACCAAGGCGTCCAGTCGCGGTCCGCCTCCCCGATCCTTCCATTCTTTCCTTTCCCTTTGCTCTTGGTCTTCGTTTCCTGCTTTCCACCTTCTTTGAACCACGAACTGGTCCAAGTCCAAGCATCAGACCTCTCACCTTTGCCTTTGCTCTTGCTCTTCCTTTTCTTTTGTCTTTGCCACTTCCATGGGGGCCAGTCCCATGTTGTCGTCATTGCTGTTCTGTTTGTTTGTCATTGGCTTTAGAATGTTCCAAAATCCCAAGCCTCGAACTTCTCTTACATGCTAGAATTGTGAAAAGTGGTGGGTAGCACGCCTGTACAGTGTGTGGATCACCTGGTGCCTGCTTGTAGTGGAACTTTTCAGAGAAAACCCCACAAAAGTTCTCCTTTCTCTCACAGCGTCTGCTTCGGATACTCGGGCTCCGCTGCCATGTGAAAACACGGATGCGCAAGCTTCCCCTTTTTAGATCCCCCTTTTGAGCCAAACATCACAGTCGGTTTGACTGTGTCAAAGTCCTTCATCTCTTCTTCTGAAGAGGTGACTGGTCGCTGTGGTCCAAAACATGTTAAAAGAACAAGCAAGCATTTCCAAACACTCTCAAGCTATTCCAAACAACACACAGGCTTCCAACAAGGAAGATTCCTGTCCAGCTCAACCCCAAGTCCATCTCCTGCCTGACCTGCATTCAGCCCATTTCCAGCACCCAAAACGCCTGTGTCATGTTTTGCTGACTTCCAGGCCCAGATTGAAATCTGGTCCAGCACTTGAAACAGGTGAAAACACCTCAGGTCCCGGCTCGCTCGCGAGGCTTCAGCCAGTGGTCCAAGCGTCACAGCAGAACTCGTGGGAGTCGCATTCTCCGTGGCATGTCTTCTCATGTTCCTCAAGGTGATGGACAGCATCAACAGGCACCCAGTTTTGTTCCTGGACAAGATGGTTCTGGACAAGGTTCTTGTGGACCTGGTGACCTGTGGACTCCACCCGAATTGGGACTGGAATCAGGGTGGATCTGGTCCTTTTTCACCACCTCAATCTTAGAATGTGGACCTTTGTTGGCGGGGCTGGCACAACGTCAGACAATGATCGACATGTTGCAGCGACAGCAGGGTTATCCAACAAGCTCAACAATCCCCGGTTGTGGGAGAGAAGGTGCTGTTCAAGACCGTGATCGACTGACAACAGCCACAAAAATGGATCCCAAGCATGCCAGTTCATGGAATTTAAGTCATGGTCCAGTCATTCTTGTGAACTCAGCGGATTCCGCGATTGGGTGAGAAGCCGGGGGTTGGTTGCGACTCGTCCACGAGTCGGCCCCCTTATCGATCTCTCCCCGTCAAGGGGCGTGAGGCGGCAGCATGAGCAGTGACTTGGTGGCCACGCAGTCCCCCTGCATGGCCGTCTGCTCGGATGCCAACGGTAGACGGTGGCTGCAGTGCCTCCTTGTTCCGTGTCCCCTTGTCCATGGTCCAGGTCAATTGGTCCCTGGTCGCCGCTTGATTGGAGACTCCGATGCATGAGACGGGGAGCTATCATCCAGAGGGTCAACTCCCTGCGGTGGCAGAGCACTGCTCGCTTCTCCTTCTTCTTTGGAGGACACCCAATGGTGAAAGGAGTGCTCCCAGACATGAAAGGAGGACTCCCCAGCAGAAAAGAGGATTCCCACACTAAAAAACACAAGTAACACCAACCAACCAGAAAACGCAAGCACAACAAAAGCCCTCCCGTAAGGTCCAAGTGTTTGGGTGAAGTCCCTCACGGCGTTTCTTGCGGCAGGTTGTTGCCAGCTGCTGGGAGCCTGGCCTCTTGACAGTGACTGCAGCAACAGCGCATGTCAAGTTGCAACCTGAGAACATGTTTGTCAAATGTTTGCCTCTAAGTTGCGACTTGCCAAATAAAACATCAATGGGTCATTGTCAAGAGTTCAGTCCCTGAGTCTTGCAAGCCTTGTCATTGATTGAGGCATATTGAGGCCCTGGCCAGTTCATCTCAGTGACATTGACATTGTCAGTGGCAGTGACTTTGAAACAAAATCATTGTCAATGTTCAATGACTTTCAAAAAAATGGGCAATGACAATGACAATGCCAAAAGTGTTCCTGGTCAATTTTATCATTTGAGTCAATTTGTTGCCAAAAGAAGGTTCTACCTCCAAAAATGTAAAACCAAGCTCCTAGCTCCCAACTAAGAAGGCTTTTTTGCACGGGTAGGGGCGCTATGTGTGCCGAGAGGGACAAGTCACCGTGTCGAATTCGTAAGAGGAGTGTAAGGATATCGAAAAACTCCGGGTAGCAACCTTACACGGTAGACTACCTACTTCCCCTGGATCTTTAGCTCACAACAGGCTCTCACACTCGTCCGGTACGGTACGAAACCTCTCCCTTACACTTCCGAATACTTCGGAAAACTTCAAACGCTGCACTAGCTGCTCTCAGACACTCGCACCCTTTTCTCACACTAGCCAAACGAATTGGCCTTGAGCCAAAACATATCCCGTAGCACTAAACTATACAAAGAATACACGAAAACGTATTAAAAGTCTCTTAAAAGCATCTCCACACACAAAGAACTCTTTCAAAACTTCCGACTACGCTACAAGTCGCTTTCAAACAATTAAGAAACAAAATGTTGTACTACCGCCAGGTTCCAAATCTTTCACAAACAAACTTAAACGAAATTTATGCATCGCAAACTGCAAGCATCGAGCGAGGTGGACATCCCGACATGGAATTTCTTCACCCCCTCTTGGACACAAAGCTCGAAACGAACTGGCTGGCTTTAAGCCTTCTTATTCTTCTTCAATGAGGACAGACATTTGGCACAAATATCTTTCGACATAGGTACGTTCATGCCCGAGCAAGTTGGATTCAAATGAACCTTGCTCCCACTCACTGAAAAATACACTTTTGAGCATTGCTCAATGCCTTTTGGAACTGGATAGCTCTTCGGCATATCGACTTTAAAAGTCACTTGGCTCTCAGGCTCAGCATGCTTCCGACACCGCAGGCAGCAGCAGGTCAGCAGGCATCCCAATAGAAAACCAGCTGCAAAGACCAAAGCGGTCGCTGCTTCCAGGCTCAGCATCGCAAGCGCCGTTTCCGCATCCGGCGTCATACCTCGGATGGTATAAGCTTCACTCCAAGAAAAGCTGTATCTCACAGTCTGCAAAAACCAAGATTCTTTCGAAATGTGCAATCGAAAGTGCTCGCAAAAACGTGCCATTCGGCTCAGACAACGTGCAAGACTTACTTGGCTATTATGATTCTAATTCGGCTTTAAATCCTTTAAGGATTAGCTCGCAAAATCTCCTGGGGTAGTGTTGCGTTTCCTTCCAATCGACTTCCTTGGACGGCAAATGATCATGACGACCATCACAAACGCAAACCTTCAGGCTTTCTAACAACCGAGTACTATCTGTCTCAATCCTCCAGGTCTTTCTGATCAACTGACCCTTCTGGTTCAACTTGACTGAACAAGCATCCACAAATGTTGAAAACGTCTTTCGTTTCCTCAGAAAATCTTTAGTCTGATTCCATCCCCAATAAGCACATCTCTTTGGCCATTCAATCGCTACGAAATCGGCTACTTCCGACATCCGTAAGAAACCTTTCCATAGCTTCTTCTGTATCTGGTACAACTCTCGAAGATGACCCATATAGTCCTGACCAAACTTCTTGATGCAAATATACTGAAACGGACATCCTCCTGTACACGACAAGCTTTCCTCTCTTTCGATGGCTTATCATCTGCTCCCGAATTGACTCGATTGTGTCCGATCGGGTTCCGTCATCCGCCTCAGTGACAGTCAAGACTTCAACACCTTCCGTACGGCTTCCGACTTCTTTCATCTCGGACTCCGGTGATGTGCAAAACTCAACAATTAGGATTTCGGTACATGTGACCTTATCCATAACCCACAACCATCTCCCGATCCAGTCATACGGCACTTCAAATGAGATGAGAAATGCTCTGACAACTCCGATCGTCTCCATGTGTTGTAAAGTCACAGCTCTCGACAATGCCTTGGTCATCAAGTCGGCACAATTCTCGGTACCTCGG